GTTTCTGAAAACAATTTTGCAGTTGAGCATAAAAAACAAAACTAAAAAAACAAAAACATTTTAAATTCATGAAAATGTAATTATCCAATTAGAATATTTAGAGTTTTTGTCACCGGGCAGAAACATGTTTGAAGATTCTTTGTCACTGGTCAGGACTTCACTGTCAGCAGAGAAGACTCAGCTCACTCACAGACTCTCCAGGGTGTTGATTTAGAGTGGGTGGGATCGAAACATGGAGCTCTGAGCTTTTGGGAAGGCCCTCAACATATTTAAGAAAATAATTAAATTTATAAATCCACACTTTCATTGTATTTATACAAAAAAAAAAAAGGTTTACATTAAAATGTTCAATATTACAGTTGTTTTTTTTTTTTTTTTTGGTTTCAGACATGATGAAATTTTACAGAAACTGCCATTTCTGTGGGTTACTGTCAAAATTTCACTACGAATCATTGAAATTACATGTTGAACGCAGCAAACTGTGTAATTAAATACATACTTATCTAATGTTTGAATGAAACTGTCTACTAAATCAGTGTAGCCTAATGCGTACATATGGAAGTTGTGTCATGTGCCACTGCTCGTCTTCACACCCTTGCTGAGATGTTGAGCTGATCCCGGCAGCAGTGAGAAGGAGACAAAATGTCTGCAGAAAAAAATAAATCAGGAAGAACGGAACAAATAAATAAACAACACTGCAGCCATTTTCAATTCACAGCGTTCCAGTTTGTGACGGTACTCTCTGCAGCTCGTCAAAAATCAGATGTGAAACTTCTGCATGAGGACGACCAGCACGCTTGAGCAAATATGAACACAATAATGTTCAAACCTCCACTGTCATTTAAACACCACTCTATAAACGACAAACTTCCACTCTATTATTATCCTAAATGAACTCAGACTGGATGGAAATTATTTTCATGGGGGTAAACCAGATTTTTATGTTTATACACGGAAGCAACAACAGCTGTATTCCTATTCTGCTTATATTAAATTTAGGACAGAGCAGTAATTTATGCAGGGGTTTTGTTATGTAATCACAGGGTCAACGATGAAAACACCTTTGCAAGGTTCAGACGTTTTATTTAAAGGCCCAGAAAATAACAAGTTGAACAAAAATATACGTTATGTGACAAAATTGGTAAAAAAAAAATCGTGTGTATTTTGCCAGACTCCTTAAATATTCAGATGTTTTTTTTTCTACTTTTTGTATTTGTAGGAAACACATATCACAGGCACCTTAAGAGCCCTCGAAGCAAAGGGTAAAGTTTTAACTATAAATATTGAGTTCATATGTAGGCAAGCATCCTGACTGTTCATACAGACATGTTAGCTCTGACTTTTTGAACAAGCTACAAAGAGTGCTGCTATAGAAACTGGGACATCGTAGAATGAAATTGTACCGTTTGTTGCACATTTTTATGACGGAATCAGACATTAACGGGTCAGATGGTGTTAAAAAGTTTGAGTCCTAAAAGTTATTTCCAGAAATCTCCTACGTTCTAGTCTGAGTGAGTACTGTATATGCGCTTCCTTCGCAGGGCGAACCGGAACCGTTTGAGGAGACCAACATGGACCGTCTGATGAGCTCTCTGGGCTACGGAGGTGGATCCACTGGAACCGGGAACAGCAGTTTAGGGGTGAAAGCTCACCGCGGCTCCGACTCCTCCACACTCAGTTCGCAGCCGTCCATTGACGAGGTCCGCACGCAAATGCACATGTTGCTTGGCAACGCTTTCAGCCTGGCACCTCCGGACCATGACCCCCCTTCGCCTCCAACCAAGTAAATTTTTATTTCTAAGCGATGCTTCGTCTCGCAGCGAGCACATCTGCATTGTTGTTAGTATTGTGTAGAAAAGAGAGAGGTCGCCTGGCGCTGAGTGTGAACTCTGTTTTCAGCAGCCCACTCCCAATCTGTTCCTCACAAAGTAGAACAGATTCTCAGCCTGAGCAGCAGAGAGGAAAATAAAAAACAGAACAAGTAAACAGTATTCTGTGTTGGTTTTGTGTTTTCATTATATTTTCTTCTCAACACCAGCCACCACCATCACCACCACCACGCTCACAGTGTCTACAATCCGACCCATTCAAGCCACTACGGTGACGGGGTGACCAGCGCCCCGGGGACCATGAACCACCCCTGTGGAGGCCGGCAGAGGAGCGCAGGCTACGAGGACATGCACCAGTGTAGCCTGCCTAAACCAGTAAGCACAGCCAGAAACTGTCTTAGATCAACTTTGCTCTCACCCATTTTTTCCTAATAAGTTAGTTTAAAACAAAACATTTACTTCACGGCTTGTGAGCTTTATAACTTAGAAAATAACTTCCATTTTGGTGTGTGGCTGCATCTAAGCATGAGAAAGGTCACTATTACATATTGGCTTGCCACGCCCAAATCTAAGATGACCACATACAGTATGTAACCCGGCCGCCACAATCATTTGAAGAAACTTGGCTTTCTAGTTTTTGCTTATCGTTTCCTCAAATGGTTGGGGTGGCCAAAGATTAAGGCCACGGCCACCATTGGCCACCCCGTGGCTCCACCACTGACGACTGAGAATCTTCACCTGTATGTCCATGTAGATCATCTCAGGCTCTTTAAAAACGTTAATATACAAATTATTGCACCATACAAGGTCTGTCACTCTTTCACTCTATTCAAACAATTTTTCTCCAAATACACGGAGTACGCCTGTTCTTTCTGGTTCTGCAGCTTTAACTGGTTCCTTCTTTACACAGTCGAGACATTATTCAGCACACATTTTTAAACCTCTAAAAGGTTTAAATACTTTGACACAAGGAGCCAAATGTGTCATTTGGTCTCTTCTCTAAGTTGATTTCAGACCTGCTGCAGAGTCACTCAGCAATATGATTCATAAAGTTGCATTTGTTTAAATTTGAAGAAGCTTTGCTGCTCCTTCAGGACCAAGAATCTGTGCAGACAGGTAAGCTGCAGCACACTGTCAGTTTGTCAGCTGTGATTGAAGGTTTAGTCCTGAGCTCCTGCACAGCTGTCATTATGTTTTCATGTTTGTTTCAGTAAGAAGCAGATCTGCTCTATTTGTTCTTTTACATTTGATTTAGCATTTTGATACTTTGAGCTTAAAATCCAACAATACCAGTAAATATGTGTCTTTACAATATCGCGGTATTCAGTTTTTGTTTGTTTTCTCCATGTATGGCATGTCAATTTGTCATGTTAACCATCACATGAAGTATTATCTTTTAAGGGTCCCTTTCTCACAACAACAAAAAATGTGTTTAAATCTTTGCATGCAGCTATTTAGCTATCATGTGACACTTTGGTTACTGCTGTCAGTGCTCGCGCTGCCTTCCGCTTTTCAGTGATGGGGGAGTTTTAAGGTGATTAATGACGCTGACGCCAAAAAGGAAAACTACATTTGCAATTTGAAATCCTGTTTGTGTGATGTGGTTCAGTATATTTCCTCCTGGATAAATCAGTTTCTGTGTATTGTTTACATCAAGTCCAGATGTTCAGTAAATGATTAAGACTATTTTTATCCTCCACAGGGTTTTCGGTTTACCCAGCTTCCTGATATGGGCATCGGTTCTCCCCCGCCACTAATCCCCTCCAGACCAGGACCACCACCTGGGACCTCAATACGATGGTAACACACTCATCTAAATACAGACAACTATTCATTTAAGAGACGTTACATACAGAAAAGCAGAAGAACAAACGCTCCGTCCTCTCGGTAAACAACAATATTTATAAAACCTTCTGTGTTGAACATTTGGCCCATTAAGATATTCAAACCAAGATCCAATTTACTGAGAACAATCACGCGTGGCATATTCTATCCAATCAAAATGCAACTTGGGGGCTAAAACAAACCTCAGAAATCTAACATACAATATTAACCTATAAACAATAAATGTGGAAACACATCAAGTTATTAGAAATGGCATTTTCTGCAAAAATGCAACGGAAAAACTTTGCTGAAATTTAAAGAAACTGAAACCTATGTGTTACAGCTGAAAGAAGCAAAACACTAGCTAACTAAAAGCTAAAATTATCAAAAGTCTAGGCAGAAGGCTAGCCAGAAGCTGAAAGCAAAAGTCTGAAAGATTAAACTAGCAAAAAAGCTAGAAAAACCAGTTTGCATGAGACAACCGGGTAGTTAGACATACTCAAAGGTTAGCTACAACCTAAATGCAAAAAGCTACCTAAAAGCTAAAAGTAGCAAAAGGCTCACCAGAGGTTAAAAGTAGCAACGCTTATAACAGAATTCTGATTAAAGCTAAAAACAGCAAAAGCTGTGCTTAAAGTATCAAAGGCTAGCAAAAAGCTCAAATCAGAAGCAACAAAGTCCATGCTCAATAATCCAGGTATACAATCCAACAATTTTCAGTCAGGTCATTTGGACAGTTTCTTTTTTTTTGTGCTGAAATGTTTCACCTTCCATCCAGAAGACTTCATCAGTCAAGGAAACACACAACACAAAACTGATTCTTCCCCAAACAGCTTACTCCAAAGTGGAACAAACCAGTTTTGTTGGTGCTAAGATGGTCTCTTTGGCACGCCCCCTCCTCCGGTGCCAGTCCTCTCCCTCTCGACAGTCATGTCAAACTGGTTCAAAACCAACAAAGTCCATGCTCAATAATCCAGGTATACAATCCAACAATTTTCAGTCAGGTCTTGACAGTTTCTTTTTTTTTGTGCTGAAATGTTTCACCTTCCATCCAGAAGGCTTCATAAGAGACTATCAAAGAGATTATTTTTATATCAAAGGGTTACACAAAAAAACAAAAGCGTCCATCTCTCAAATTTGCTGAACATTTATATATATATAAATGACTAAAATAATACAAATTGTGCAAAAACTCACAGAAATCATGTAAATCGGTGTGAATGCTGAATCAGCATAATTTAAGTGGCTCAGATGTTAGTCTTCATCACGTGACTGGAGCATCTTCTGCGTGCACAGTTGCTGGGCACTTTAGCTCTGCAAAGTGACTGACTGGCTGCTAAATGGTTTCCATGAAAGGAGCACGATCCCCATCTAGTGGACAAATATTAAAATTAATAAAATAAAACCTGGCAGGAGTAAAACTCCAGCTGTGAACATCTGCGGAGTGATGGGAAAAAATGTTTTATAAGACAGCTGGGAGGGAAATGTAGTTTACTACCAAGACATAAAATTATATATCTATAATTTTATTTAAAAAAAAAGATGTAGGATCTATTATTTTTGACAAGGGGCACGGCTGTTTGTCATAACTCTCTAATTATCATGATTTTTATTTAAAATCAGAACTGTGTGACCAATTATTCTTATTTAAAGTGGTGTTTTAGAGGTTAATCAGCTGGCTCTGCGCACATCAGCTCCTGTGTGTCCTCAGGGAGGAGGAGTGCAGCATGGTGATTCCTCTTTAGTATGCAGCGTGCAGCGTTTATGTGCTCTGTGCATAACGGCTCCGAGGTCCATCAGTGACCTCATCTGTCCTCTGCCGAGCTGTAACATCCTCCGTGTTCCCGCACATCGCCTTTCATGCCAAAGTTTTAAAATAAAATCATTTTAAGATCTGAGAACGAAAAAAAAAGTAAATTCTTATGGGTTCTGGAGCCAATCACATAATGGACTGATAATGACTCTCAGTTACCACCACATCAAATTTAACTCAGTATCTATACAAGTGACTGAATGATTACCATTTTTGTTTTTTAAGGTCAATTACCTGCAGCGGCCATCTTGAATGAAGTTGACTCTAAATGTTAGTGAGTTGTAGCTGCACATCCAGATGTTTCATTCAAATCTGTCCAGTGGTTCACAAAATATTTTGCTAACAGACAAACAGGGTTAATGCCAAAGTTTTAAACTGAAATATTTTGTCATGTGTATCATCCAGTTTGTTTGGTGTGATGTGCAACTACTAGCACACCAAATTCAAGCTCAGTATTTTTAAAGTGATCTAACTTTTAGCCTTCTTTGCTTTTCCTAAGACAAATTGGTGAGTGGTGTCCATCTTAATTTGGGCTAATCTAAAAGCTAATTCATTCTTTTTAATAATAATTATTAGACAATAATAATGTTCATTAGACATTTTGACCGCAGATATACCAGCAGACACACGAGTGCCCACATACAGACAATTGAAAGATTGCTTTCCCTTTATAGTGACAAGCAATTAAAACCTTGTGAAAGTCATCATGAACAGCATACGGTAATTTGTATAATTTTATGAAATCTTCCGATTTTTGTCTCATTTTGTATTTCAAGACCAACCTTGTTCTTGCCATCACTTGTCATAAAGCTGAAAGTAGTGACTCACTGGGCTGCGATCATCGGCATTAAAAAGATCAGCTTCCCCTGTTGCTCAGAACTGAAACTAAATTGTTTGCTTTTGGGACCCGTCATGTTTTTTTAATTTTATTTTACTTTTTCAGAGCCTGTGTATTCAGGATCCTTCAAGACGTGGGACTGCACCCTTGATATAAAAGCCCCGCCCTCACACCCTCCTAACTCGCTTAACATGCTGACACATGAACATGACACTGTTTAAAGCCTAAAAAACTCATTAAATCTAAACCTGTAAAAAAAAAGTGATTTATACAAACAGCCACAAGGTAGGAACTGCATGAATCAACAAAATTCAACATCTAAATAATTGACATGAAGTGTATTTTTAGTTTTTAATGGGACAAATGTCACTTTTATTTTACATTTAGGAAAATTTAGAAGTTATACTGCTGCCATCCACTAGGGGGAGCTCGTATTTTGTGGTTTCAACTTCCTGGTTCTGGTCTTCTTCGTAGTTAATACATGTAACTGAGCTGGGAATAGCTGGTGAACGACATTTATTAAAGAGTGTCCAGAATGTCTTGCAAAGTTTGTGGGGGATCTCTGTTTCCTCACATAAGGTGGTCTGAATCTGCCTCTCTTTATGTCTTAAATTTACTCCAGGTGATGAAATGATGAACATGTGGGTACAAAACAAGCTGAGGTGGTTGTAACTTTGCTGGAGTGGACAACAAGATAATGTGCACAGGCAAGAATACAGCTTTGCAAGCTGTGCACAAAAAAATCAGGCCATGTTTTCCAAGACGTTGCCCCTCAAAACATGTCCAGTCTTGGTTGCAGATGCTCAAAGTTCAGAGAGACTCACGTCTTGGAGTTATAGTTTTGTGCTTCTGAGTTTTTGTGTGTCTGACTAACATTGGCGTCTCCTCCACAGTAACAGCTCCACCCCTGATGTGAGTCTGAAGCCTCGTGTGTCTGAGGCGTCAGAGCTGCAGGCCCAGCAGCACAACGGCGCTCCCTACCTGCCCCTCTCCAGGACGCCCTTCCCCGCCGTGTCCGTTGATCAGTCCATCAGCAACTACTCAGGCAGGACGCAGCGTTTGCACCATGAACCGCAGAGGACAGAGACTGGCTGCGAGCTTAATAACACACTTTGTTCCACCTTACAGGAAACCCAATCACTGCGGTGTACGCTATCTCGGCCAACCGTCCGGGATACTCAGATTACTTCGTCATGTCTCCGCCATCCTCCTACCGGAGCCCATCCTGGATGTCCTACCCACCTGAACCTGAAGACCTGCCGCAGCAGTGGAACGACACACCTGTAAGATTTTGTGCCGTTGCCGTAAACAGTTTCTGCGGGAGGATTTTTTTACCGAGTCAGGGTCTTCTTTCACTTCTCTCTGCAGAACTCACGACACCTGGAAACCATCTGCTGAAGTCGAACAGAAACACTCTGCAACGAGGTGGGTCAGCTGATCTCTGCACATCACTATATATAAATACACGCTGGTTTAACTTCTTATTTATGTAATCATGCACCTGAAATGTGCAGGTTTATTTAGGTCTATCCATTTATTGTCCCCCGTCGCAGAGCGAAAAAGGGGAATTGGAAATACTCTCCGTACATCCATTCATCTACCTGTGAATGTTGAGAGCATAACTTAAAAAAATAAGAGAGCTACCCTTTTCCATTTTGGTGTGTGGCTGCATCTAGTGTATGACAGGTGCCTTTTAACAATTGGGTCGCCATGTTAAAATCCAAGATGGCCACCGCCATATATATCTGAATTCGCCTCTCCAATTATTTGAGGAAACAATTTTTTCTAATTTTTATTTTTCTTAAAAACATTCCTTAAATGACTGGGGTGGCTGAAGATTATTCTATGGTGGCCAAGGCCACCACTGGCCACCCCCTGGCTGTGCCATTGCACCTGGTGGTGGATCAAGTGGCTCCCTCCACTCACCAGGATCTGTCACTCTGCGCTGCCTCAGGCAAAAAACAAACAAAACAACATACCTCTGTTCTCCACAGTGTAATTCTTACCCACTTGAATATTTTATAACTTTTATTCCCCGTTCCATTCCAGTCCAGAAAAACACTCGTCCAAAACTACAAACATTCTTTTCTATTCATATTTTTCTAATGGTTTTATCAACCAGCAGGGGACAAACTTTTTTTTGTCCTTTATAAGCTTCAACATTTTGATTAAATTTATTCAGTTCATCTTGCAGAATAAGAAGCAAGTCAATAAAAATACGCATACACAGCCATCCTACTTGGCTTGATTTAAATGCATCCACTTTACTGACGTGACTTTTTGTGTTTGTTTCAAATAAATAACAGATTATTTCCACTTGTGTAAAATTGAACATTTTGTCAGACAACGGGCTGTCTGAGTCAGACAGCAGCTTTATCTGGGCTGTAAGTCAGCCTGCATGTGAACAACTGGCAAGATCGAACATCTGACGGAGCCAAAGCTGCACCTGGATGAGGTGATCTACAGCCAGATTAAAGGATAATTTAATCTTGTGAGCTTGCAGTGGATGGAGAAATGATTGGACTAAATTTAATCTGATCAAACACATTTATCTTGTTGGAGTAACTGAAGCTGAAGTGCCAAACTTTGAGTATGATACTGAATGAACCTGGCAGCGTATGTGTCATGCATTAGAACAGATGTATATCAGTACAGAACCAGATGTTTTTGTTTGTTTATTGGACAACAGCAGCAACAGAAGCTCTCTAAGGAAACTTTCTGATGCTTTAAATCCAGCAGAAACTTCATGTTCAGGACTAAACTGCTGTTTTCTTCTTCCTTCTCATATTCAAGCACCATCAGCAGAGCTTGTGGTTGTAATTAGTCTCTCTGCCAGACGGACGAAAACAGGCTGAGATCATTAAAAATGACACAAAGAAAGTCTCGTTTTTGTTCTCGCGTGAGTTTTTCTTTTCTTTTCTTAACAGAACTGAAAAGCAGGCGGAGACGATTGTGAATGATCATGAAGTTGAAACGAACATGTTTGTTTTACTCTGACTGGACTCTGAAGAAGCAGAACATTTACTCCCAGGTGTGTCTCTCTTGCAGCGCTGACGACCTCCTTCCCTCGGACCACCCTCTGGATCTTCACCCCTCCCAGCCTTCGTCCATCTGCCTGGCCTTCATCTCTCACCTCACCTCGTTTCGTCATCCACAGCTCCTCTGCCACCCTCCACACACACACACAAACAAATCTTCACTCTTTGTATTAATGAGCTCCTCAGACGTGAGTCTCCCTCTCTGTATTCTGAGCCCCTGGCCTCTCTCGGGCCCGTTCTGGCCCGTATGGCTCTCCATCGTGGACTGCCTCTCTGGTGCGCAGCCAGAGGCCCGTCACACAGGACTCAGCACAGCCTCGTGGGACACTTCCAGCAGCACTCGATGGCACACAGTTATCAGTCCTTTACTGCCCCCAGCCATGACTGGAACGGACCGAACTGGTCTGGACCACCCTGGACTCGCCTATGAGATCCACCTTGGAGCCAGGAAAGCTGAACTGACGTAAAACTGTGCTTTTTTTTTTGATGAATCTAAATTTTACAGCTGGAATATCTGTGTATTTTAAACTTGAGTGACGAAAAAGAAACAAAAGAAGAAGAAAAAATCTCACCCTGAGCTGTCTCAACTTTAGTTTTTGGATATCTGTGTGCTTTTGTCTTATATTTTTGTGCATTGATTATTATCAATGGATTATTGTGTACAAGCGACGTCGTGAGTGCTGCTGTTTCACTCACTTTGTTTCAAGGCAAAAAAAAAGATGTTTCATTCTCTGAGGCAGAGAAATCGGTGGCTTCTAGTTGTCTGTGGATACGATGGCTTTTCTAATCCTTTAAAAACCAATTCTTTCCCTTTTGTCTTCGTTCAGTTCAGTGATGAAAAGAAGAATTGGTCGCTGTGTTCTGTCGGTCATTTTACGACGTTTGTCAGCTGAGTCAATCTCACTAATTACAGCCTCGATTCCAACAAAGTTGGGACGTTGTGTAAAATGTAAAAAACAACTGAATGCAAGGATTTGTAATTTTTTATTTTATTTTTTTTTTATTTTTTTTTAGCCTTTATTTATCCAGGTTAGTCTCATTGAGCCACGAGAACTCATTTTCAAGAGAGACCTGTTTTAGGGAGCACATGGTGGGGGTTAAGGGCCTTGCTCATGGGCCCAGAGTGGGGCGAATGAGGGTGGGGGCAAGTGTGTGTGTTTCACCTATCCCACCCACAATTTTGATGTTGTCGGGGCCGGGGCGTGAACCGGCGATCTTCGGATCACAAGCCCACCTCTCTAACCTCTGCGCCACCACTCCCCAATCTTAACAAATCTTAACAAATCCACATTTTATTTATAACATCAAAGGTTTATACAAAAAAAAAAAAAAACAGCACTTTTGGTGGGGAACAATAAAAAATATAACACCTTATGACAGCAAAACTTCTCAAAGAAGTTGCTCCAGGTCCGTGGTTCCTTTCTTTAACAACAGTCTGGACCTGGCGAGACCGGTTCTGGAGCTTCAAAGCCATTCTGATGTGAAGGATGTGGTTTATCATTATCTCACTGTTTATACAAGACATTCCCTGGATAAGAGCATGTGGTTCTTCAGTCTTTTCTGGATTGATAGAGCCTTTTCAGATATATAAGCTGCTCAAGTTAGAGGCACTAATGCACCCCTATACCATCAGAGAGGCAGACTTTTGACCTCTGTGCTGATAATAAACTGGATGGGTTTCATCAGCACGGAGGAAGTGGCGTCAGTTGTTGCTAAAAATATATTTTGAATTTGAATCCATCTCACCACAGAACAGTTCTGGACTTCACCTCGGATCATTTTAAATGAACTTCGGTCCAGAGAAGATGGCAGCGGTTCTGGGGGGTGTTCACATTTGAGTTCTTCTTTGCCTGATAGAGCTTTAATAGAGCATTTGTGGATGACACAGTGGACTGTGTTTATAGGCAATGATTGGTGGAAGTGTTCCTGAACCCAGAACATAACCAGACCTGAGGTTTATTTTGCAGTGGCCCCTGGGGGCCCGAAGATGCCAACCGTCCAATATTGCCTTTCAGCTTCGTTCTTTGAGCTCAGAGATTTCTACAGCGTCTTGAAATATTTGATATTATGAACTGTAGATGTTCAAAGTATTCACAATTTTCCGTAAAGGAACTTTCTTCTGAAATTGTTCCACATTTATGAGAGTTTTAACAGACCGGTGAACCTCTGCCCATCTTTACTTCTGAGAGATTCAGATGCTCTAAAATGCTTTTTTTAAGCACCCAGCCCTCCCACTGACCCATTCCCAAATGACGCTTTCAAAACATCCTCCAGATGTTTTTTTTTTTAATTATTATTACTTTACAGCCTCTTGTTTCCCCATTTGTTGAAATGTGTTCCTGACAATAAATTCTAAATGAGTCCCCACCCCAAAAAAAACGTGTTAGTCAAACCAGTTGACCTGTTTGTTTTGTTGTACTGCAAATAATATATGAATTTATGGGATTTGCAAATCATTGCATTTTGGTTTTATTCACATTTTCCACAACGTGTGCACATTCTTTGACTTGTGGTGCTGCAGAGCAACGATCCCGCTGCTACGCAAGTGATTTCGACTCAGTTTTCTTTTGTTACGTGAACACGTCAGTTTTCTTAGAGAACAAACCACTGTTTTACTTGAAAGATGTCCGTTGTATTCTTCTGTAATTAGAAACCCAGAGTTCTTGTTATTTTGGTCTTTCTGGGGACAGGTTGGATATTTGGCCATTGGACTCCGATGTAATTGTCCAACAGACTCAGATGGCTCAGATTTGTAACATGTATCGCTGTAAATAGCAGATGATTTACTGAAAAAGATTTATGCAAGTAGCGTGGGAGGGAAACTTTGCTTGACATTGATTCAAACGCCATTTTTCCTTTTTAGTTTCTTGTTATGATGACTGATGGTCCGACTGTTTCTGTAACTCAATATTTCAGCTTCATCTGGTGTCTCATAATGAACACGTGACATTCTGAAACCCAGACAGTTAAAAGTGAAGTACATCAAAGCTAATAGCCATAAAATAGTGGAAACAATGCAATATTTTAGTATAAAGAATGTCAACAAGTTTATTTAACCTTATTTTTACTGTGGGGGGATTCTTTGAGCACACTGTATTTAAAGCTTCTTGTCATTTAGATGTTAGTAAAGGAGATTATAGCCATATATTAACATCGCCTAGTTAGCTTAATAAACCAGCTGCAGATTACAGTGCTGAGTCAAAACGATACCAAATATAAAACTTTTAGAAGCGATGATAAAAAGGAACAACAATTTCTAGGGAGATCAATTCATAAGAAAAGAAATAAGGTTTTTACGGCTAAGGTTTGGCAGAAAAAGGTCAAGTCCAAATAAAAAAACTAGAGAAACTGAATTTCCTGCAAAAATGCAGTGTGAATGCTTGTTGCAGAAGAACTTGCTGAAAAACAGCTGAAATTAGCTAAAAACACGCTGAATTGTAGCTGAAATGGATGAGCAAGCCTAACTTAGCAGAAGAAAGCAGAAAGAACACATTTTTGCTGAATTTTAGAAATGAGCACAAACATTAGGAAATTAGCTAAAAAAGATGAAATCTGAAAATAAATAAATAAAGTTGACAGTAGTTGAAAAGGCAAAAAGAAACAAACTACTAGGAGGAAGTGGAAGAAGCTAAAATGAGCTCCAAAAATATGGAATTAGCTGAAAAAGCTAAATTTAGCATACAAACAGCTAACTAGTAGCTGAAATATCAGAAAAGGCTAAAACTAGTAGAAATAAGCTGAAAGGAGCATAACAAGCTAAAATTAGCAGAAATAAGTTAATTAGGCTGAAAGTAGCAGAAATTACCATAAATAACAAATTTATCTAAAAACAGCTTAATATAGCTTAAAAATGCTAACAAAAAGGTAGCTGAAAAAGTAGAACAAGCTTAAATTAGCAGAAGAAAGCAGAACAAACATGTTTTCCCTATTACGCTGAAAGAAAACGAAATGGCCACAAAAAGGTGGAAGTTATTTGAAGCTGAAATGAGCAAAAACAGCTGAAAATAGCTGAAACTAAAGTTTAAATTTGCACCAGGAAGCTGAAAGAAGCTGAACCAGAACAAAATGTGAAAAGAGCAGTAAAAGGTTGTAAACAGATCTAAAGATTTGAAGGATGTAAAATGAGCTCAATTCATTTTCTTTGAGGGGAAAAAAGTGTCAGAAAAGGCTAAATATTTCAAAAAGCTAAAGTTGCACCAATACCTAAAGTCATAGCAGGATCGTACAGAACGAGCTGAACATTTTGATTTACGATTTGTTGAAATAGCTTAAAAATGGTGGGACGAGAACCACGTCAAAAAGCATACAGAAGAAAATGGATCACAACAGTGTGAATACTTTATAAACGTTCACACAACTAGGTAGCAGTACATAATATACCCTGGTACAAGTAACCCTGTAAGTTCCTGATAGAAGTACCTATTACAGACCAGGCTGGATTATGTATTTCTATCAGAACAATTGAAGAAACCGCTCAGATTTATGTTTCGCTTGAAACTGTAAATGTATGTTTGGAGTAGAAGGTTTTGCAGGAACCATGAGCCCCACAGCTGATCTGACAGTTTGTTATAGAGTCGAGAAGACAAAAGGCTGAGCTTTAAGCTAAATGTTGGAGAATATTTCTGCAAAAACAAAGCTGGGGATGCCTCCTACAGAATAATCTAGTGTTTGATTAATCAGCTGAATGTTATATTTCACAAAAATCTTACTTTTGTTGCCAAAACACTTTAAAATGAACACCTTAGTTGGAGAAACAAATGTGGCTGATCCAGTCGTGCTGAAGGAAGCTTTTATTCCACTTTAGGCATCTTTCCTGATGTAAGCTTGATAAACAGATTTAAATGTTGAAGGGGAGGAGAGTTTATTATAAGGAGCACAAGCAGTGCTCTGAATCATCTGTCATTCCCCGACATCCACTGCCATTCTATTTTTAAAACCCTCTCACTGTACAGACCCTGTGTGGTTTTAGAGGCAACACATTCATACACATTTGTTGTTTTCTTTGGAATAACCTCGGTGTTAATGAGAGGGCAGCAGACTGAAGGGAACTCCAGTTCCTCGTTGGGTTATGTGCAATGTTTCTGCTCCACACGGGTAACGGCGAGATGCTTTTACTGACGAAGAGGTTTTGAGGTTTTATTTTCACGTCATAACGCTCTGACATCACGTTGGTGCTGATGATGTCACGCCATCATCGTTTGGA